TTGTCAGTTATTAAAAACATCAACGAATTTGTGCATTAAAAATAGTGGAAATTATCATACCTCTGTGAGAAGATCCGCCAATTCTTGGTGAACTTTGGTTCTCAGTGAGGTGCGGGCCACCTGGATCAATGTATCACGATCAATTTCACGCTTGACCTTCACCGCCTCAAGAACTTCTAATGCCTTATTACGTGCCAACTCAAAACCTTCAGTGATCAGACGTGGATGAAGGCCCTACATACACAAGCATATAACTTAATAATGGTTAAACACTTAACAACACAGCAACAGATAAGGTGCGTATTTGCGAATTTACGCAATTAATTTTATAAAATACGCAATTGATTTTTTAAGAATGCGTATCAAAACCCATTAAAAAAAAATAAAATACGCAATTGTCTTAAAAACCCGTGCGTATTGTCATTTTCATCACCGCAAAATTAATCTGTCGTACGCTCGTAGATTGGACAAATTATATCGATATGCATGCTATCCGAATATTCCCGAATCAATGCTAACTAATGAACGGTCTCCGGTCTTCGACGGTCCCTGGTCTCCAAAGACCGACAAAGTCATATCAATGAAGCATGACACCGTCGATTTGTCTACTCAGGTCGACGGTCTTTACAGACCAGCAGAGACCGTTGATTTTGCGGAGACCGTCAATAAGTAGGTCCCACCTGTATCAATAGACGCTTTGAAAGCAATATGGCGTCATACAAAAGGGAAAATGATTTGAAACAAAACAATCGTAAATAATCCAAAAAAAAAAAAAAAAAAAAAAAACAGTCAGAAAACGAACTTGTTAAAAATATTACAGGGCTCACGCTGTCGGTCGCCATAGTCGCCATTTGCGATTATTTATAAGATTGGCGATTATTTTTGCATTTTGGCTACAAAATCTGGCGATTATTTTTTACTTCCAACAGTGTTTATATAAGGTGTAAAAATTGATAATGAATGCAGTAGACCCAATTAACACCAGCGGGGTGCATTTAATCGAGTGTCAACTTTTTACCGGTCACGTGCTGCCAACTATATTGCCCGAGGTGATAAAATACATGCGAGATGTATAATTGTATAAGTTCTTTAAAGATATTGTCCAGCATTTATAATAGCCATCAAATATCCGTCAATTAGCCACAAAAATCGTTTTAAAATTGATAAACTGGATATTGACTTACCCAAAATTTACCGTGAATTGCAGCACGGATTTATATTACACGGATGTAATATAAATCAGTGATTGCAAATTTTGATTTTTTTTTTGTTTTAAGCTACTTGACTAAATCGCCAGTGGAAAACAATGGTAAAATATTTAAAAAGTATTAACTTTCAAACTACTATTTGCACAACAACCAAAATTGTGAATATTTCTTCAGAAAACAGGAAAAATCCGATTGTCACATATTTTCGCAACACCGATAATTTTGATATTTATTTAAAGGTGAAATAAACTATGTTCTGTTTAAAAATCTTTACTACTATGGCAGAAAATTTGTATTACATTGGTGATGATGATATTTTTCAGTAAATTATTCAGAAAAAAGGCTGCATTCTGTGAATAAGTTTGCAAACTTGTGTTATTTCTATAGGCTAATATGACCTAGATCTACTCCAGTTCTGTGTGAAATGTGGAAATTGACAGTGGTTATAGCTGACAAAATTTGATTAGAACAAACAAAAAAAGTTGTCTGATAACAGCATTATGTAAAGTTTTAATGAATCTTTAATATTATTGTTATACAGTAATTATACTAATTATAACGTTTTTATTCTGTTCTATAATAACAATTAAAGTTGTGGTTCTATTTAAAAAAAGGTAGTTATCAATATACACAAATGTATCAGTTTATTTGAGAATCCTTATAAAACTGAAAGATATAAATGTAATGTTTATTTAATCAACTGCTTATGTTGTTAATCGCTAATTCGTGAATAGTCCGCTGAACTTTTGGCTATTATTTTATTTGAGCCAGTGTGAGCCCTGATATTATGAAATATAACATGAGCATTTTATATAAAAAATAAAACAATTGTGAAAAGTTCTAGTAAACTGTTAATCCTAATTTCTTTTTAAACAGTTTAAATTTTATTGATATTAAAACCATAAAATCATATTTTCATAATTGAATACCCAATTGATCTTGAAATCATAGGGTATCGAGTTTTGGAATACCTAATAAAATGGAGCCAATACCTAATTCCAAAGGAAATGATGGAGTAATACCCAATTCACTTTTAAAGCTTATCTGTTGCTCTTACAATATACTTTTTTTTCATTTAGAATTTTTTTTCAGCTGCAGCAAATAGTAACTTGAAGAGAAGAAATATAGACAACAATAAAACTCTTACTAGACCACTGTTAATAAAAATTACTTCACAAAACATCTTATTATAATGATTAACACAACCTTAAAGTAATTAATTTCAGAGTAATAAGTCTTATTTTTTCTGTAACTTTTTTTTTTGAGAGCTTAAATTTTTTCCTCAAGACCCTAATGGTTATGAAGTTAAAGTCACACAATTACCTCAGAGATGTACAAGTCAGCCTGTTTAAGAAGCTCTCCTATGATGAGAACATTAGATGTAGTTCCGTCACCAGTAATATCATCCTGGGCTGTAGCCACTCTCGCTATCAGGGAGGCTGTAGGATGCTGGATTTGCTGAAAACAACATAAACTTACTTAACATGTACTTAACTTAAGTCTTACATATTCACCATTATACAATACTGGTAGGGGACCAGCAACCCCAACACTTTTGAGCATTTTTTCATAAAGATTTCACAATTTTTAAAGGTAGATACTTGGAAATTAAACACAGTTAAAGCTAGGTTCTTCTTCAAATGAAAGAGCTAGTGTGTTACTTCCGATGTTGTAGACACTTGTATTTGAGGCCTCTGCTGGGGGGTATCAAAATTTCTTAAAATGTCTTTACTACAGTACCATGTGTCCAGACAGATATAAAATTTATAACTTAAATCTAATTCAGATAAAGGCCTTACAATATTTTTTTAACATAAAGTACAGTATTCCAGCAGCATATGCTGAAATTTTGATTATTCTAGTGTTTATTCTAAAAATAATTATAGCTAGTAAAAGAGATCAGGTATTTCATCATGATGTAAGAATTTTCAACATCAACGTTTTTGTAATAGATAAAAAACTATTAACTTTAAGATAAAATCAATTTAATTAATCAATCTTAGAAGAAACATGCATTAATTGTTGATATTAGAGTGGCTGATTGATCGACAACCATTGAACAAAGAAAATAACTTAAATGTTAAGGAAACTGGTAAAATTCAACAAACCAATGATAAAGTACTAAAACAGCAGAAAAAAGATCATGCAAAAACCATTAATTGTGTTAGGAATAAATTTCTTGATTTATATATCTGACAGCTCATAAATATATTTTTTTTTGTACCAGATAAAAAGTAATCCGATTTCATGTACATTCCTTAAACGGGTTCAACAAAATGCTACAAATCCTAGCCTCTAGGGAGCTTCATGATTTCATAACTTATATACTTAAATCTAAGAGCGTCATTTTAAAAAGTGTATATCAATTGACAATGACCCCCAAAATTTTCTTTTTTATTCACATGATTTGGTGTTTTCTGCTGTGATGTAATTATTTGAAAAAAAAAATAAAACAAGATTGCATTTGAGAAAAATGCTATGCCACCGCATGTTTCAAATTTCATAGCTGTTCATGGAAAAGAAAGTAGGTCACATCATCAAAATCTGGTCACCTGATATCAAAGTTCAATTTTACAACTAAAACTGTGCACATGGTCAAAATGTCACTGCTGTACATCAAAGGACAAGAAAGTACGTCATTGTCCCCTCGTGCAAGGCATAATTTCGACCCAAGGGTTTAATTCAAAACAATCTTGATACAGGTCCACCAAACAACATTTCAAGTCAAATATCTAAGCTATAGCTTTCTCCCATTCAGAAAACATTTGTTTTATTTTCTGTTTTTACTATGTGTACATAATGAGAATCATTGCCCCCGGGCAGGGCCAATTTTGACACCAGGGGAAAAATTTGAACAACTTTGGTAGAGGACCTTTAAATGATATTATATATCAAACATCAAAGCTCTATGCCTTGTACCTTCACACAAAATATTTTTATTTTTTCACTATATGTACATAATGAAAATCAATGACCCCCCGGACGGAACCAATTTTGACCCCAGGGCTATAATTTGAACAATCTTGCTAGAGGTTCACTACACAATGTTTCATGCAAAATATCTTAACTCTAGCCTTTGTAAATTTAGAGAAGATGATTTTTTAAGTTTTTACCATATACATATAAGGAAAACCTATGGCCCCCGGGGGTGGGGCTAATTTTGACACAAGAAGCAAAATTTGAACAACTTTGGTAGATTACCTTTAGATAATATTATTTAACAAATATTAAAGCTCTAAGCCTGGTACCTTCAGACAAAAAGATTTTTTGATTTTTTACTATATGTATATATTGAAATCAATGACCCCCAGGGCGGGGGCAATTTGACTCCAGGGCTATAATTTGAACAATCTTGCTAGAGGTTTACTACACAACGTTTCATGCAAAATATCTAATATCTAACCTCTAGTATTTGTCAATTGCTAGAAGAATCTTTTTTAAAGTTTTTACTATATACATATAAGGAAAACCAATGACCCCCGGGGCGGGGCCGATTTTGACCCCAAGGGCTATAATTTGAACAATCTGGGTAGAGGTCTACCAGACAATGCCTTATGCAAAATATCTAAGCTAGATGCCTTTTGGGTCTTTACAAGGTGTTTTTAATTTTTACTATATGCACATATAGTGAAAATCAATGACCCCGGGGCGGAGCCAATTTTGACCCCAGGGCTATAATTTGAACAATCTTGTTAGAGAGGTCTACGAGACAATGCCTTATGCAAAATATCTAAGCTCTAGGCCTTTTGGGTCTTTACAAGAAGATTTTTTAAATTTATTCTCATAATTCCTTTTGGTTGCCATGGCAACCAGATTTCTGCATGGAATGAAATTCTTTGAACAACTTTAAAAGTCCTTCACCCAAGGAACAAGCCTGCCAAGTTTGGTTGAAATTGGACTAGTGGTTTTTCACAAGAAGATTTTTTAAGTTCACTATATAATCTATATAACACACACACAAACACACACACTAACACACACACACACAGGTGAATCGCTATATGCCACCGCATCGCAGATGCTGCGGTGGCATAAAAATGGCAGATTCTGTACATGCTTTATATTGGGGTCTGTAAAAAATAAATAATTAAAGATATACGAAATCAAGATGTGAAATGGCATTAAAATAATATTCAGTACATGCTCCATTACCATTTCATGCAACAACACATTTCCATCCTTAGTCAGCTTGATGTCTCCAGACCCAGAAACTAACCTGAAAAGAACAAGATAATGATATTATGTTTGTCACAGTTTACAAATTTTGCGGTTGAAAATTCAAATGCAATATTTTGTCAAATGAGAAGTGCAATGACAATTCGACAACAAAATAGCACTGGTCGGGGACCACCAAAACCGGACAACCACCAAACTCGGACGGCCGCTAAAACGCTTTAATATTTTAGCCTAGTTCTGGCTTCCAATACTTTATAAGCTGCTAATTAACATTTTTGTTTTTCATCTGATGCGACATTAAAGTTTTGGATTAGACCCGTTACGAAACCCAACCAGAATAACATAAGTTGATTTAACCTTATTTTTCACTTGCAAATACACTTAGCGAATCAATTCTTGTGCATTTTACGATAAAACAACTATTTTAATGTCGTTCTATATCAATTAAAGTATCAAAATATTAATACTGTCATTTAAATTGACTATTTAACTGTAAAACATCAATTACGCGAGTACAGTCGGCCCTGACATTTAGGTGCCAGACGAGACCTCGTACGACGTCATTCGCAGGAACCGATTAGAGTCGTGTACTATATTTAGAACATCTTTGTTCAAAATTGTTGACATGATTTCGATACTTTTATTCAAGATAATGTTTTAATTTATTTTCATAATTTTATTGAATACAAAAGTCAGTAATCACCTTTTTCAATATCTTTAAAAAAAGTAATTTATAAAAATATTGGAAGCACATGGGTTCGTAAAGGTCAATCTTGTAATGACGTGGTCAAACATTTTCTGATTTTGGCAATATGGCGGCCAAGTGCCAAAATTTTTACCTGTCTGAAACTATTAGGTAGTTTATGTTCGTAATAAGATTTTTATTTGTCCATCCTTGGCTTATCAACAGATTATATATAGTTTTATCAAAGTATGCTTCACTTTACTTCATGGCATAGGAACTCTGGAACAGGACCGCATATTGCGGCGCATAAATCCGAATCCGTACCAGCTTTACATATTGTTTGTCCGACCTTTGAATATCTTTTTATATTATACGAGCAGATGGTCTTTAATTATCTTATCTCAATTTAATATAATCTGCTAATTTAAAAATCAGTCAAATTTACGGTATATTGAAAAAAGAAAAGGAGTGACATCCGTCATTTGCCGCAATGTTCGGCGTAAGTTACCCCCCTTGATATGCTTGATTTTTGTTTTAATTTTTCTAGTACTCTCTTTATGTCACTCAATACATGAGAAACTTTCACATTTCCTAATAAGGAATACCAGATGAGTGCCTTGAATATTTATCTATGGATCATGTTTTAATGTTCTTTTTTTTCAGTTAGGCAAAATCTATTACTAAAGTGTCTGTTTTCTCCATGTAAACAAATCATAACACGAATACGCCCATTATAATGCCGACTATACATGTCAAACACTAGTGCATGTCAACACGTGTAAACAATAAACCGTTATGATACCTGATAGTTGACAAAGTTAACGGGAACAAAATTCTGAAAAAATAGTAATCAAGTGTAGCCAAAGGGGGAAAACTCATGCCGAACGTTGCGGCAAATGGCGGATGTCACTCCTTGTCTTTTTTTATAATACCGTAAAATTTGACCAGTTTTAAAAGTAACAGATTGGGTTCAAGTGATAGTACATTGTTTGAGGCCATATGCTCGGATAACAGGGGTTTACTTAAGGTTTTGACTTTCACTTGCCCGAAGGGCAAGTAACTTTGAAAATCTACTTGCCCCCAGGAAAAACAGGTTGCCCGATCTTAAATGTGAAGTTTGTTAATAATCAAAGCAAAAATTATGGGTAAAAATAAGATTTATTGCAGATCCTATCAACTTATGCCTCAGATAGTAAAATAGTCCTAAATTCCCTACTGTATATGTTTGTTTGCTAATTCACAATAGTCTAGGGGTCGACACAACTTTCTTTGCCAGGGATCCAATAGAAATCCCTGAGATTTAATTTAGAAAAACTCCTAAATGTCAGGGATTCCTCACATCAAAATAGTAAAATGAAAGTGAAGATTAACAATAGTCATGTCCGACATGATCTGTTAAGGCTTATAAAAATTACAGGAAATATTAGGCCCTATTCCAGATGACTTTTAAAATATATTAACATTCAGATGCTATCACCTTAAAAATATTTATTCCCTAAAACAACATTAAAAAGGAAACAGTACATTGATTGTTAAAATTGTGCTAGGTTTTAAATGTTTATTGTTGATTTCAAACAATGTAAAATATCAAAAATATGTTTGCTTTAATTGTTTGCATTACCAAACTAGTAATGTACCTTTCAAATTTATTTCATTTTTAAAAACAACGAGTTGCTCCAAGTCCATGACAGGATGTGTTATACTCAATTTAAATTGATTCCTATCCTCCCTGTTTGTATTAAAATTTATTTGAAGTTTTAACCTATGTCACATCAAAGGGACTCACCCCATGCAGTAATCATACAGTTCAGAGCACTGACTGGTTCAAAGAACTGTCAGACGAAATATACGTCATTTGCTGTATGTTTCACCTAAGGAGGTTTTTTTCTGTTTTGGTCGTAAATTAGGCATGACCTAGAATGACCTCAGATAACTTATAGTTAATATGCTGTGATTTACCAAAAAGGATTTTAAACATTTTATGGATTATTTTATTTTTGTTTATTAATAGGTAAGAATATTTTTAAACATTGCCGTAGGGGAGAAAGGAAAATAAATTAACATCAGTTCAAGACTATTATGATTTTTCATCAAGATTTGTGTAAAAAAGATTACTGGTGATGAATTTTAAAAAAATTCTATAGACCTATTGCAAATGAGTTGACGCCAGTTAGTTAAATTTTGACTGTATTTAAGAAAACAATAGCGTACAGGATTCAAAGGAGTAGATTTTTACGGCCCGATTTTTCTGTTCTTTCTTGAACCTTGCAGTTGTGTCAGTCTTTATTGACATAACTCATCTTGAATTTATGTGATTTTATGCTTTTTATTCAGAAAATCAGATGTTTTCTTTGCCGTGGCTTTTTCTTTAATTGCTGTAGATTTTTTTCTTTTAAGAATGGGAAAACTTTCGGCGCCGCCCGCCATTTTGAAAGGAAAGCAAAATAGAAAAAGTTTTTTTACGTAATTTGATGGGTTGATAGGAGTCCAACTACAATCAGAAACAGTTATAAACACACTTGTTTGACTGTAATATGAACGGAAAGAAAAGTATTATCGGCAAAGGATATCAAAGCTAATAGAAGGCATAACGAAAATTCACTTGCCCGCCGGGCAATTTGCTTTCAAATTTCACTTGCCCGCAGCGATTTCTACCCGACGCGGGCAAGCGGGCGTCCGCTTAAATAAACCCCTGGATAATACTTAAAAACTTTAGATGTAGCAGAAACGTTTTTAAAAACCGTTACACGATCGAAAATATGCGCCGCAATCTGCGGTCCAGTTCACGAGTTCCTATGCTTCACGGCATGTTCGATGAATGAATAAGAGTGTGTCAGATTCCTGGCACGATTATTGGTGGACTTTCCCTACGGGTTGTCTTCAGCGTTCACGTCATGTCATAATATATAAACGGGTACACCGGAGACCTTAAGCTAATTTTAGGCCTATGGCTACACACAGTGATTAATCTAGAAATTCCTTACAATGCGTCGGATGACGCACATGTTTGAAAATAATGAGTCCTGTAGCAAAATCAATGAGTCATTTAGCAAAATAAATGCGTCTTAGCAGAATTTTTTTTTAATAGCAGATCCTTGACATGATTTGCATGTTTTTATAACAAAGGATTAAGTAATTAAAGTGTATAAAAAAAGTTATTTTTGGTACTAATATTAATTGCAGGCAAAACAATTTTTATTGGCTGCTCAAAAATCTAATTTGCATAATTTATATTTTCTTACTACTTATGTCTAATACTGTGCATTATCCATTTTAATTGTTCGTAACTTGCACAAAATGTCCCTATCACACTGTATACATACTGACGACTTTTATTGCTCCTTGTATGCCTGTGTAGAAAGCATACACAGACAGACCTTTTGATCATGAAAAAAAGTCATGCACAATGTTTCCCTGATTGGTTAATTACCCTGTCAAATATTCTGATGACGTAATAGACATCTTTTTTTTTTACACTCCGCGTGAACTTGAGTGACCTTAGGGGAATTCAATTTACACACCGGTCAGATTATACTTTCTTAAAATAGCAACACTTTTTTTTTCAGTTACCGATATTTATTTAAAATATTAAGTAGATTAATGATTTTTTGTTTGCTTAATTGGATTGAATTTATGGTAGTAGAAATGCATATCTGTGTGGGAAAGTGATAAGGACAAGGTAAGTAGATAACTTGGAAAAATGCTATAGGGAAATGGATAAACTCAAGAACATGCGTAATTACAGGGGAATGGGTAACCTGTTGCTGTGTGGATGACTAAATAACATACAATATAAGTCTGGCACAGATTTTAGATGCACCCTTGGCCCTTTGCCGACGATTTTCCTGTGCCATTCTTATTTTTTAGCGCCAATGGCGCAGGCAGATCTCTGCATATTTCACCATTGTAGGCGATTCGCTCTCATGCAAAATGGACGCTCTGATTGGCTAATGCCGATAATGGGCGGTTATCGATCACAGGGATTTATCGTTTCAAGCAAATGGGGGATTAGTCTTGTACCTGTAATCATCGGAAATTAAATTATTCAACTGAAGAAATTGAAAAATTATTCAACTGATGAAATTAAAGTAATCAAACAGTACATAGAAATCACTAATCCTGATATTTTGGATTATAAACCACCTGATTTGCATGCGTCAAATTGAACGCACATATTTTGAAACTGCGCGTCTTTCTTGATTTTTATGCGTATTTACGCAAGACGCACATCTAGATTAATCACTGCTAAACATAGGAAAAATTATGCAGCATTTGGGAAATTTATAACCAGACCTTTTACATAATGTTTAAGTTTTATGCATTTGACATTGTATAATCTTAATACCTGTGACATTTTAAGAAACAAGTCAAAACAGGTCATTTTCATGAGAAATTGAAGATTTGTTTTAAAATAAACGAAACGAAAATGACGACAGTCAGAAAGCATTAGGGGAATGTGTGCCTTAAAGTTTATAATATTTGCTCAAAAATGCCCTTGATTTTTTCACATATCAACAGATATACGTTAACCTAACATCTATAAAAAATCTTGATTAACCAAATAAACTATACCCCACCCACCTCTTAGCTCTGTTCAATACACGTGCTTCTAGAATATTCGTTGAAATGCCATTTTGTAATACATTCATTTACTTACATCTTTAAAGTGCCCCTTGGTCCAAGATTGGATTTAAGTACATCTTGAAGACCCTTCGCTGCTGATATATTCACAGCTAAGGCCTGGGAGGCTCTTGCAACCTCCGCTTTTGGATTTAATGACTTGATCGCGGACATGTTTTTTACCGATACAATAATCGGTAAACGGAAAAAGGGATCGAGTAAGCGTACACTTTGCATATTTAGCCCCGCCTATAAATAAAGTACGAATTTCTTATAAAGCGTTATCATCATGATTAAAATAGACTATAAATCTGTGGAAATGATCAGTGTTACTGTATGTAAGTGCATATGCTTAATCCCCCTAATAATTATACACGAATGTCTTATAAAAATGGAAAAAGGCTTTAAAGTGTTAAGTCGTGCAATAATGGTGCTTTCATTCATATGCCAAATGATTAATCAGCATATGAACCTATGTGAGGATATCAAGTTAGATGACTAAAGGATCATCTGAATATACATACAATGTATACTTTTGTTCATATGAAAAATATATAAGGAATCACATTATAAGAGGACCAAGTTTATACTATATAGTTTTCATTGAACAGATACAACGCGATCACGTAAGATGACCATGTACATATACTTTACTTTTCATTGAACAGATATCAGCGGGTCACGTACTTGATGACCAGGGGATCATCTACTTGTACACATAAAATAATTTTCATTGAACTGATATCATTGGATCACGTAGGTGACCAGGCGATCATCTAGATATACACGTCCTCTTTCTTATTATGGAAGGGATATAAGGGGATAACGTAAGATGACCAGGGGATCATCTAATTTTACATATGCTATAGTTTTTATTGATCAGAAATAAGGGGATCATGTAAGATGACCAGGGGATCGTCTAGATGTGCATACAGTATAAGATTCATTGAACAGATATCAGGGGATCACGTAAGATGACCAGGGGATCATTTAGATGTACATATACTATAGTATTCATTGAGCAGATATAAGGGAATCACATAAGATGACCAGGGGATCATCTACATGTACATATACTCTTTCTAATTATGGAACGGATATATGGAGATCACGAAAGATGACAAGGGGATCAACCATATTTACATTTACTATAGTATCCATTGAATAGAAATAAAGGGATCACGTAAAATGACAAAGGGATCGTCTATATGTACATATACTATAGCATTCATTGAACAGAAATAAAGTGATCACGTGAGATGAGCAGGGGATCATCTACATGTACATTTATTCTTTATTATTATGGAACAGATATATGGGTATCATGTAAGCAGACAAGGGGATAATCTAGATGTGCACAAACTATAATATTCATTGAACAGAAATAAAGGGATACCGATCACGTTAGATGACAAGGGTATCATCTACATGTAAATTTATTCTTTCTTATTACGGAACAGATATATGGGTATCATGTAAGCTGACCAGGGGATCATCTATATGTACACATACTTTAGTATTCATTGAACAGATATATGGAGATAACGTAATATGACAAGTGGGTCATCTAGATTTACATATACTATAGTTTTCATTGAACATATATCAGGTGATCACGTAAGTTGACCAGGGAATCATCTTAATGTACATATACCGTACTTTTCAATGAACAGATATAAGGGGATCACGTAAGATGACCAGTGGGCCATCTAGATGTACATATACTATATTTTGCATTGAACAGATATAAGTGGATCATGTAATATGACCAGGGGTTCATCTAATTTTACATATGCTATAGTTTTTATTGAACAGAAATAATTAAGGGGATCACGTAAGATGACCAGGGGATCGTCTAGATGTGCATATAGTATAAGATTCATTGAACAGATATCAGGGGATCACGTAAGATGACCAGGGTATTATCTACATGTATCTACTCTTTCTAATGATGGAAAGGATATATGGAGATCACGAAAGATGACAAAGGGATCAACTATATTTACATTTACTATAGTATCCAATGAACAGAAATAAAAGGGTCACGAAAATGAGCAGGGGATCATCTACATGTACATTTATTCTTTCTTATTATGGAACACATATATGGTTATCATGTAAGCTGTCAAGGGGATCATCTAAATGTACATGAACTCTTTCTTATTATGGAAGGGATATAAGTGGATAACGTAAGATGATCAGGGGATCATCTAATTTTACATATGCTATAGTTTCATTGAATAGAAATAAGGGGATCTTGTAAGATGACAAGGGGATCATCTAGATGTGCATATACTGTAAGAATCATTGAACAGATATAAGGGGATCACATTATATGACCAGGGGATCATCTACATGTACATATACTCTTTCTAATTATGGAACGGATATATGGAGATCACGAAAGATGACAACGGGTTCAACTATATCAAAATTTACTATAGTATCCATTGAACAGAAATAAAGGGATCACGTTAGATGACCAGGGGGTCATTTAGATGTACTTATATGCTTTCATATTTTGGAGCAGATAAATGGGGATAATTTCAGCTGACCAGAACAGAAATAAGGGGATCACGTAAGATGACCAGGGGATCGTCTATATGTGCATATAGTATAAGATTCATTGAACAGATATCAGGGGATCACGTAAGATGACCAGGGGATTATTTACATGTATCTCCTCTTTCTAATTATGGAAAGGATATATGGAGATCACGAAAGATGACAAGGGGATCAACTATATTTACATTTACTATTGTATCCATTGAACAGAAATAAAGGGATCACGAAAATGAGCAGGGGATCATCTACATGTACATTTATTCTTTCTTATTATGGAACACATATATGGTTATCATGTAAGCTGTCAAGGGGATCATCTAAATGTACATGATCTCTTTCTTATTATGGAAGGGATTTAAGGGGATAACGTAAGATGACCAGGGGATCATCTAATTTTACATATGCTATAGTTTCATTGAATAGAAATAAGGGGATCTTGTAAGATGACAAGGGGATCATCAAGATGTGCATATACTGTAAGAATCATTGAACAGATATAAGGGGATCACATAAGATGACCAGGGGATCATCTACATGTACATATACTCTTTCTAATTATGGAACGGATATATAGAAATCACGAAAGATGACAACGGGTTAAACTATATCAAAATTTACTATAGTATTTATTGAACAGAACTAAAGGGATCACGTTAGATGACCAGGGGGTCATTTAGATGTACTTATATGCTTTCATATTTTTGAGCAAATAAATGGGGATAATTTTAGCTGACCAGGGGATCATTCAGATTTACATATACTATATCATTCATTGAACAGAAATAAAGGGATCACGTGAGATGAGCAGGGGATCATCTACATGTACATTTATTCTTTCTTATTATGGAACAGTTATATGGGTATTATGTAAGCAGACCAGGGGATCATCTAGATGTGCACATACTATAATATTCATTGAACAGAAATAAAGGGATACCGATCACGTTAGATGACAAGGGGATCGTCTAGATATACATGTCTACTTTCTTATTATGGAAGGGATTATGGGGAAAACGTATGATGACCAGAGGATCATCTAAATTTACATATGTTATAGTTTTTATTGAACAGAAATAATTAAGGGGATCACGTAAGATGACCAGGGGATCGTCTAGATGTGCATACAGTATAATATTCATTGAACAGATATCAGGGGATCACGTAAGATGACCAGGGGATCGTCTAGATGTGCATACAGTATAAGATTCGTTGAACATATATCAGGGGATCTCGTAAGATGACAAGGGGGTCATCTAGATGTGCATATTCTATAACATTCATTGAACAGATAAAAGGGGATTACATAAAATGACCAGAGGATCATCTAAATGTACATATACTCTTTCTAATTATGGAACGGATATATGGGATCACAAAAGATGAAAAGGTGATCAACTATATTTACATTTACTATAGTATCCATTGAACAGAAATAAAGGGATCACGTTAGATGACCAGGGGGTCATTTAGATGTACTTATATGCTTTCATATTTTAGAGCAGATAAATGGGGATAATGTAAGCTGACCAGGGGATCATTCAGATTTACACATACTATAGTATTCAATGAACAGATCTAAGAAGATCACGTAAGATGACAAAGGGATCGTCTATATGTACATATACTATAGTTTTCATTGAACAGAAATAAAGGGATCAATAAAGGAGATGAGCAGGGGATCATCTACATGTACATTCATTGTTTCTAATTATGGAACAGATATGTGAGTACCATGTAATCGGACCAGGGGATCATTTAGATGTACACATTCTATAGTATTCATTGAACAGATAAAAGGAGATCACGTAATATGGCAAGTGGGTCATCTAGATGTACATATACTCTTTCTATTTATGAAACGGATACATGGAGATCACGAAAGATGACAAGGGGATCAACTATATTTACATGTACTATAGTATCCATTGAATAGAAATAAAGGGATCACGGAAGATGACAAGGGGGTCATTTACCTGTACATATATTTTTTCATATGTTGGAACAAATATATGGGGATAATGGAAGCTGACCAGGGGATCATCTAAATGTACACATTCTATAGTATTCATTGAACAGATATAAGGTGATCACGTATATGACAAGTGGATCATCTAGATTAACATATACTATAGTTTTTATTGGACAGATATCGGATGATCACGTAAGTTGACCAGGGAAACATCTTGATGTACATAAACTATACTATTCATTGAAAAGATATAAGGGGATCACGTAAGATGACCAGTGGGCCATTTAGATGTACATATTCTTTAGTTTTCATTGAACAGATATCAGGGGATGACGTAAGACCAGGTGTGATATAGATGAGGAAAATATACCTTCAAGCAAATGATAGGGGATCAAATGGAAGGACTAAGGGATCAAATAGATGTACAGCAGAGAACATACTATCAAACATATAACAGGGAATCAAATGGGTGTACAAGGAGATCATACAGATGTACAACAGAGAATATTCTATCAAAAATTTAAGAGGAGATCAATTAGATGGAGTAAGGGATCATATGAATTTACAACAGAAAACATTATATAAAGCATACAAGAGAGGATAAAAATTGATGTACTTGGGGATCAAATAGATGTACAACTGAGAATATACTATCAAAAATA